GTCTGACTTGGTCGACCTCAACAGCCTCTGCACCTGCCACTCTTCCCTTTTCTCCCCATGCCTTTATCACGTTGGCCTTCTTTTGGTTCCTCGTGCCATGTCTCCTTCTGGTCCTCCACCAGGGACATTCTGGCCCCTCCCCACATCATCTACCTTTCCTTCACATATCAGCCCAATAATTACTTCCTATTTCAGTGGTGCCTTATCAAAGAAGAGAAAGAAAAACCTGTGTAACTCCCAAGTTAGCCCATGCGCTTCTGCTCAAGTACAGGTCTTTTGTCCACAAATGACATTTATCTTCTTTCTCATGTATCCATTGAGACCGGTTTGAAAGTTAGGAAGTTTAGATAGATCTAAAAGTTATGGCTATTTATAGTCCTGAGAATGAAAGAGTGCTAAAAGCCTGTTATAGTTGTTATTTTGTAAATGAGGTATCAAGCTTGTAAGGTACATGAGGCCCAACCATTCATGTAATACTTGAATCGCCTCTGTGAACAGACCAAGTACTTATTCTATTCTGAACACTCTTCTAGTGTTCATCAGATCCAACCAACCATGAATCACTTGAATTATGCTATCGTTCTATGTACATTTCTCCATTTTAATCATTAGAATTTGTACCAAATATAATGCCAGAGGCCAAAGGCCCAAAGCAATATTTGAGGTATATTTCCCTTATTTAACAATATGCCATTTCTATTGGAAAAGTAAAGTAATGCTTTAGTCTTAAGAATTCATGCTAAGAACTAATGAAGACAATCTCATTCTTTAAATCTAGACAGATATCCTAACCACCACACCACCAAACTACCACTTAGCCAAATCAAAGAGAGGTATTCAACATAGGAATGGTTAAGTACCTAACTGAATAGTCACTAAAAGCTTTTCACATGTGTATGTTTTCAGCAAGTGTTCACTGAGCACTTTATTCTTCACAAAAAAATATGCACTGAATGTGTTTTTGTGCCAGACCTTGTATTAGGCCCTGGATATACAGTGGTAAATGAAATTAATATGGTTCTTGACTCAATGAACCTACACATTACTGAGGGAGAGAGTCATCAAACAAGTAAACACACAAATAATTATTGAATTACAAACTGTGATAAATGTTCTCAATAAAAGAAGCAAGAGAGAAAAATAACACATTAATGAAATTGAGAGAATTTTGGTATGCCTAAAGCAAAGGATGTGAATCGTGAGTAATAAGATTTTGAAAGTCCTTGCAAGTCATCCTAAGGACTTCAGTATTAAAGCAGTGAAAAACTGCTACAGATTATTTACAATAGCAAGAACATGGAACCAACTGTGCTGCCCATTAAAAGTAAACTAGATTTTTTTAATGTGGTACCTATACACAATGGAATATTACGCAGTCATAAAGGACAAAATTATGAACTTCACAGCAGCTTAGATGAACTTAGTGGCTATAATACGAGTGACCTATCACAGAAACAAAGAACCAAGTATCACATGTTCTCACTCACAAGCAAGTGAGAACACTGAATTGTATCCCACATATTTAAAATAAAAAATAAATTAGTAAATAAATGAATAAGAAAAACTGCTAAGAGATTTAAGCAGAGAGTTGACATTACCAGAGTTGTCTAAAGCATAGATCTAGTCATGTAATCATTCATACAGGAACTGACTCTCTGTTGAAAGTAGTTCTACTTTCTCTGTCAAACAGATTCCTCTCTTTAACAATACTTGAAAAGGATTCCTTATTTAAGACTCTACAAAAATAACAATTGTAATTAGTGTTGACTGAGATAGAACCTAATCTATATGAAGGAATGCACCGTTTATCAATAATTAACTTTAGTATCACAACTACAAAGCACATTTATATTTATATATGTTTATTTGTTGTTCACATGGAACATATGACTGTAACTACTCATCTCTTAGCCAAGATCTGCAAGGGGATACATGACATCTGGGTCATTCCTAATCTGTTTTGTTATCCCATTCTGGTCCATATCCCAATCTGAGATACTTGGTTCCATGTCAATCTGCTCAGTTCTTTGTGACAAAGTTAATAGACTAATTACAGAGAATGTTCAGTCTCTGTGCCTCCAAGTTCTCACAGTTTGTTCTTTGAAGTAATTTCAGCTATTTCTATAGCTCTGGCTATTACTATTTATACATATATGGCTCGATGGATAACAAATTCCAGAAAGCAGACAATTTGGTTCTACTCTAATCATAAAATTTAGCTCTGTTTTCATAAATACCTATTCTAAAATTTCGCTTCAGAATGACACTGGAATTGCCATGAAATGATCGTAGCAGTTGAATTGGGAAGACTGCAGTATCTAAGAAGAAAATGGACATGTCTAGCTCTCCCTTACTATCCCCAAACCATTACTTAGGCCTTGATTCAATCCTCCACTATCAAACATCTCTTGGCAGCAACATCTGTCATCAAATGTGTCCCTTTGCTCCATCTCCGGAATTGTGCTGTATGATTGTTTCAAGTTTCATTTTATTTTATTTTATTTTATTTTATTTTATTTTATTTTATTTTATTTTATGAGTGGGAGTCTCACTCTGTTATCCAGGTTGAAGTGCAGTGGCACACTCATAGCCAGCGCAACCTCAACCTACTGGGCTCAGGCAATTCTTCTGTCTCAGCTTTCCAAGTAGCTAGAACTACAGGTATGTGCCACCACACCCAGCGAATTTTTTTATTATTATAGAGATGAGGTCTCGTTAAGTTGCCCAGGCTGGTCTCAAACCTCTGGACTCAGGTGATCCTCTCATCTCTGCCTCCCAAAGAGCTGGGAATACAGGCGTGAACACCTAGTTGCAAGTTTCTTTATATGTGGGTCACACATACAGAAACATGTAGCCAAAGTCCTAGACCTAAGAGTCAAGAAATCCAAAACTCAGCATTCAATGATAAAAATTTTTCAGTCTTTCATGTTCGTTTTGTTTTGTTTTTTTGAGTTGGAGTCTCACTCTGTCACCCAGACTGGAGTGCAGTGGCATGCTCCTGGCCACCATAGATAGCCTCAACCTGCTGGGCTCCAGCAACACTTCCACCTCAGCCTTCCAAGTAGCTGGAACTACAGGCATGCACTACCATGCCCAGCTAGTTTTTTATTTATTTTAGAGATGAAGTCTCACCAAGTTGCCCAGGCGGGTCTCGAACCTGCAGGCTCAGGCAATCCACTCACCTCGGCCTCCCAAAGCACTGGGATTACAAGCTTAGCCACCAAGCCCGGCCTGTCTTTCATGTTCTTAATCTGTCAAGTTTGCATTTCTGTACTCAAAACCCTTGTCCCTTCCCTATTGTAGAAGCGGAGAAAATTGAGATAGGTAAGTGAGAAGGTACACATGGAGGCAAAAAGGATGAATAAAAAATAAAATAAAGAAAAAGAGAGAAATAAGAACTAATCTTACTTTTCTTTTTTTATTTCAATAGCTTTAGGGAGTACAGATAGTTTTTGGTTATATTGCTAAATTGTATAGTGGCAAAGAAGTCTGGGTTTTAAGTGTACCACCACTCCCACCTGTGCACATTGTACCCAATAGGTGATTTTTGTCCCTCCACATCCTCCTCCCCTCCCCCTTCTGAGTCTCCAGTGTCCATTATACATTCTCTGTGCCTTTGCAGATCCTTATCAGTGAGAACATGCAATTTGGTTTTCTGTTCCTGGATTAGTTCACTTAGGATGACTTACTCCAATTCCATCCAAGTTGCTACAGAAGACATCATTTCATTCTTTTTTTAATGGCTAAATAGTATTCCACAGTGACATATACCATATTTTCATTATCCACTGACTGAGTAATGGGCAATTAGGTTGATTCCCATTGTTACAAGTGTGAATTGTACCACAATGGACATGCAAGTACGGGTGTATTTTTTATATAATAACGCTTGTTCCTTTGGGTAGATGCCTAGTAGTGGGGTTGTTGGATCAAATGGTAGATCTGCTGTTAGAAGAATTAATCTTACTTTTCTTCTGATGGATTTTTGCTGGAAACAATGTCTCCCAATGTTTGATCACCTTATAACCTATATCACAATTTCCTGGGGCTCTATTATATACAGATAAAAGGTTTGAAGCAACTAATGTAAATATTTTCTCTGTAATCTTTAGATATTTTTAAATCTATATACCTCATTGCCCTGTTTCTTCAAAATTTTCACAAGTGGTGCTTGCTTCTCAAATACAGTGATTGGTTTAAAGCAGATAAAATTACTCATTTACTAAATGACTGCTGTGAACCCAAAAGGTACAAAATAATAGGAACACTCGCCCACGTTAAGTCAATCATCTAATGAAGAAAAAAGACAAACACAAGTGAAAAAGACTTAATTAGCATATGAGTGGTATCCTGGCATAGAAACAGATACAACTCGCACAAGTATCTATGTGCTAAGAAAAGCAAGGTTGGCAGGTGGGCAGATCAAGTACCCATCATTAGACACCTTACTCAGGAAGATTGGAAGTTTTAATCAGAAGTTTTGAATAATGAAGTGTAATCATGGAGCCACCTCCATGTGGTAAAATAAGCTCTGCCCGAGAAGTCAGAGGGATGTTGAAGGCCCAGGTCAGCCATGTGATGATGAGCAAGTCTTTTAATTTTTTTAACTCAATTTTCTCGCTCACATAATCGAGGCCAGTCTTTGTTTCTTTATGCTCCCACCTCATTTGAGAAAGGATTAAAGCAAAGAAGGCTTAAAAGTTTCTTCTGGCACTAACATTCACTAACTTTACATTTATCCAAGTTTCCTTCTGGAGCAAATATTTGATGACTCTACACCTCAAAACCCCACAACCATGAAACACAAAAGACAGGAAATATAAATAAATGCAAATTGGGACTTGCTATGGTCCATAGGCCACCGCCGTGTACATATGTCTCATAACTGTGAAATTATACAGATATGGTTCAATCAAAGTTTTAAGGGGTTGCAGGCTATCCAGAATTTTTCTGGTGATTTCTGCCAGGATCACATCCCTGGTAAAACCAGAGGCATCCAATCAGGGATGTTCATGTGTTTGAAGCAATGGTATTTTTCCCAGCAGTCTTTTCATACCATTTTTGACTTCCTTATTTCTTAAGCTGTAAATGATGGGGTTCAACATAGGAGTAAGCACACCATAAAGCAATGAGATGATTTTGTCTATTTTCTGTGAGTTCGATGAGGAAGGTTTTAGGTACATGGAGAGAGCAGCCCCATAATACAAGATCACCACAGTCAAGTGGGCACCACAAGTAGAAAAAGCTTTGTTTCTTCCCTCTGCAGAGCTGATTCTCAGAATAGTAGAAAGGATGAAGATGTATGAGATGCAAATTAAGAGCAATGGAATGGGCAGGAGGAGAATGCTGACCACCAGCATGATTGTGTCCATGAGCAGAGAACTTGCGCAAGCTAACTTTAGCACCGCCAGAATTTCACAAGTGAAGTGATCAATGAGATTCCCACAAAGTGGTATTTTCAGGGCGAAACTGGTTTCCAACAGGGCGGTCAGACAGCCCGTCACCCAGGAGACCATGGCCATCTGCACGCACACCCACCTGTTCATGATGATGGAGTATTTCAGCGGGTTGCAAATGGCCACATAACGGTCATATGCCATCACAGTCAGGAGTACACACTCTGTGGAGCCCATGGCAAGGGACAGATACATCTGCACAGCACACCCAAAAAAGATAATAGTTTTCTGCGATGACAGCAAGTTCACCAGCAAAGTAGGAATAGAGGCAGATGTGTAACAGATATCCATGAAAGAGAGATTTCCAAGGAACAAGTACATGGGTGTTTGAAGGCGTGAATCTAGGACGATGATTAAAATAAGAGTGCTATTGGCCAAGAGAGTTATCAGATACATCACAAGGCTGAAGACAAAGAGAACCACCTCTAACCTTGGATATCGGGAAAATCCCTCCAGGAAAAAAATACTCCAAATGGTGAAATTTCCTCCTTGCATTTCCTCTTTTTCATCTGTGGTTATTCTAGTACTATTCTCTTCATTTCATCTGAGGACACAGAAATTAATAAAGTGTAATGCTCACTCAGCTAGAAAAACACTCTCAAACTTATTTATACTATTATAAATACAACTTTACCACAAGAAAACACAGGAGAGTGTATTTATTGATCTAAGGGGGGGGAAGTAGGTTTTCTCTACAGAAAAAAATTGACTCTTCCACAACAAAATTTAGAAAACAGTGAATTTTGAAATAAAGAATAAATATATTTAATATTTGAATCTCAGCTCATAATGCCATCATTGACACACAGTAGGTTTTCAATAAGGATTTAAAAGTGATTGAGGAAAATATGGATGTGTATTGAGTAAATTATTAAGGAAAAATTAGAAAATTAAGCCAGATAAGTGAGGAAAAGAAAGTTCATATGTACAACAAAAACCAGTATTGATTTTCACAGGATGAAGAAGAGAAATGTTGAAAGAAACAAAACAATGAATTTTAAACCAACACCTATGAAGTTCTGGGTCTAAATGAACTCTGTCCTTTCCAGTTAACAGCTCGGAGGTCTGTACATTGATTGTAAAAAGGATGGCATTGCTTGAAGCATTGTAGATACACATTCTGTGACTATATTTAAGAGCTAGATTTATGTCACACAAAATAACCCACCTAATTTAAACAATGATCCATCCACTGTACAAAGGCATTCATTATTGAGCCCCATAAATTTGTGAGTATGTAAAGAGTTCTAAAAATTATACACCTTTAAAATACATTAAAACCTATATATCTAAGAAATGCAGAAGTTAACTTCCTTAGGAAATCACCTTAAGATCTCTTTGAAAATATGATTACAGATTATCTAATTACAAATAAGACAGTTAAGGTTTTTTCTTTTACAGTTCGCATTCTTAACAAAAAATAATTACAAGAATACTTATAGTCTACATTTATGCTGCTTTTTATCACCTTCAATCTTTTTTCTTTCCCCACTGAATCTTTCCTATTTATTTTCAAATATACGTGTTCTTAAAAATTCCCTTCATCCTCACACGACCTATGCAAACAACCATCCTTATTTTGCTCTTTCTTTTATGGAGAAATTCCTCAATGATGTGGCTTATGTTACAATTTTTCAGTCTTCACCTTCTCATCCCTGGTATTCTTTCCTAGTTTCTCAGTTTTAGTCAATGCTACCATTCTGTCTCAGTTCTCCATATTTAAAAAGCTGGCATAGTTATTTATTAATAAGTCAAAAACTCATAGGTGCTGGCATGGATGCAGTGAAAAGAGAATGCTTATACATTGATGGTGGGAATGTAAATTAGCACAACCTCTATGGAAAATGGTAGAGATTTCTCAGAGAACTAAAAGCAGATTTATCATTTGATCCAGTGATCCCACTACTCAGGATCTACCCAAAGGAACAGAGGTTGTTATACAAAAAAGACATCTGCCCCTGCGTGTTCATCACAGCACGATGCACAATTGCAAAGATGTAGAATCAATCTAAATGCCCATCATCTGATCAGTGGAAAATGAAAATGTGGTATATATACTATGGAATATCACTCAGTCATAAAATGGAATGAAATAATACCTTCTGCAGCAACTTGGATGGAATTGGAGAACATCACCCTAGACGAACTAACATAGGAACAGAAAACCAAACACCGAATGTTCTCACTGATAAATGGGAGCTAAACTAGGATCTGCATAGAGATTGTATAATGAACATTGGAGACTCAGAAGGGGGAGGGGAGGAGGGCGTGGAAGGACAAAAAACACCCATCAGGGACAATGTACACAGGGGAGGGTGGTGATGGGTACACTTAAAGCCCAGATTCTTCACCACTATACAGTGTAACCATACAACCAAAAACTATTGAAATAAAAAGTAAATAAATAAAATGAAAAATAAAAAGCTGGTATAGTGAAAATAGTAATGTTGCAATACTATCTTATATTCTTATGCCCCTATGATAAGGGGAATAAAATTTTTTAAATTACTTTCATTATATTTCATCATTTTAAAAAATTTCTGCCTGTATTCCCTCTCATATCTAGCCTACAAACAATTTTCTTCACTTTTTTGTTTTAGACATCATTCTCGAAGCAGCTGACATTACAGATTCAAATATTTTCAGTAGTACTGAATATACATTTAGTATTCCAGGAAATACTTAACAGTATTACTTACCTCTGTAGTAGTTGAACATGCAAAGTTTTTGCTTTTCTTCCCCAGAGTTCCAGTTTTTTCTCCATCATGGTAATTGGCTCTTATTCATTTGCTAGTTGAGAGATTCTTTCTTATTTATTATAGATATATCTGCCAAATGTCATTTTTAGCAATTTCTCTATTTAAAAATTATTAGATTATTATTCAGACCGGGCGCAGTGGCTCAGGCCTATAATCCCAGTACTCTGGGAGGCCGAGGTGAGAGAATTACCTGAGCCCAGGGGTTTGAGACCAGCCTGGGCAACTTGGGGAGACCTCATCCCTACCATAAATCAAGAAAAATTAACTGGCATGGTCACGCACTCTGTAGTTCCAGCTACTTGGAAGGCTGAGGCGGAAGAATCACCTGAGCCCAGCAAGACGAGGCTGCAGTGGCTGTCAGCAGCATGCCACTGCACTCCAGCCTGGGCAACAGAGTGAGACTCTGACTCAAAATAAATAAGTAAATAAATAAATATTATTAGATTATTATTAAAGATTACTGAAAGAAAGTTAACAGATATGAATTTTTAAATTTAAAAAAATCAGCTAGTTGCTGGGATTTGAACATTTCTGTTGTTTAAAATAGTAGCCAAGAAAAATTGGTTCTCCCATTTAAATTTCCAACTTCAAATAAAATATTCTTTATAATGTGCTTCAGAAGGTTAGCCAAGTGCAAGAAAGAATACATTATTTGTATTATAAAATGTTAATGTTTTTATGTAAAAATCAATAGCGCAATTCTTTTCTTTTGATATTATTGACTGTTACCACCATAACAAAAAATTCCAGAGGAAAGAGACTGAAATACTATGTAAATTTAAATAATGTGTTGTTTGGGGGGAATAACTGTTTTCCCTGAACAATTTAAAGTTCAGAAGCTTAATATACAGAGGTTTGAAACTTCGGATCCTTCAGGGATAATGTCCCAAAGATCCAATTATACCAAACTTTTAATAAGTCAGTTAGAAGGCGAACCACAGTTACTTCAAAAATACTTTCAAAGAACTTATTTTTAAAATGTTTTCTACTTCCCTTGTAAATCCCTAGCTATGTCAAGATTTTTTTTCTGAATGATTACAGTGTAGAATACTTAACAGAATATAGAGATGTTCCTACTTATTCTAAAATCTATTTTTTCCATTTGTAAAGTTACTTCCTAGTTTTAGGAAAATAATGTTTCTTTTTTAAGTCACAATTAAGTCATTAAATGTCCCAACAAGTGACAAGAAATTGTATTCAATATACACATATCAAGAGGACCTTAAGACAATGAAATTTCAGCAATAATGGGCATCTCTAGCACCAAAATCTTAGTTTCTACACATCATTCTAAATTAGAAGAAAACCTGGCTCCTTGGAAAAATGACTTATTCTGGAACTGCAGCAGGGAAGAAACAAAATTAACTTACAGTATCTTACCATACTAGAATGTAAGAAGCATAGCAGGTGGGTATAGAAGCTCACCTGATGAAGCTTTGCCAAATTTGGAAAAGATTATTTGGGGCATCAAAATTTTAAAAAGATAATAATGGATTATAATTTATAGCATAAAATAAGCATGTGCGCATTCATTGCGACATAAATAAATAAGACTGGAAAGCTCTTCCTCACAGTAGAATGCCAAAAAATCAAGATAGTGGAACGGTTAGTTAGATAATAATCACTCACAGTACAGGGTTTTGTAGACAAGATTACCAGAGGAAAAGTTTGTATTCGATTAATGTAGGTATTGTAGTTGCTGAAGGTTTTAAAAGTTGGATGAAGAACAGGATATTTACAAGGCATCAAAATGTCTCACCATAAATTACTAATAACTTTAAAGGTAAAATAGTAACCTTACAGTGGAAAGACCTGGAGGAGAATCACCTCAGCATCACCAATCTTGGGACAAACTGATTCCATGTATCTTCTGATATGATGATCTCAGGACACAATATCATCTCTGTGGTATTCTTATCAAAAATAAATCACCCGAATCTGTGGCATTCTGCAAAATAATCAGCATCTACTTTTCAAAATCAGGAAACAAAATGAAAGACTGAGAGATGGTTCCAGTTAGAATGAAATTAGAGACATGACAACTAAATGCAATGCATGAATCTTAGACCAGAAAAAATTAACTATAAAGGATATTATTTAGAAAAATAGATAAAATTTGAACATGTTGCACACCTATGGTCCCAACTACTCGGGAGACTGAGGCAAGAGGATCACTTAAGCCCGTGAGTTCAAGACCAGGTTGGGCAACATAATGAGATTGTGTCTCAAAAATTTTTTTAAAAATAAGATAGACATAATTTGGTTTATGACCACAGTCAAGATATAGCATGTTCCCATTAATCCAAGCCTCTGTCCCTATAGTTTTGCCTTATCTAGAATTTCACATAAGCAGAATTCTATAATATGCAGTCTTTTCACTTATCAAAATGTTTTATGCTTAGTGTGATTTCTTTTATTGCTGAGTAGTATCCCACTGTGCAGTCCTTTAGCAACCTTATGTAATCACTGATCAGTACACATCTGGATGGTTTTCTGTTTTGAGCTATTATGAATACTTGCTTACAAATCTTTATGCATACATATATTTTTATTTGTCTTGGGTAAATACCCTGGTGTAAAATTTCAGGGCCATAGTGCAAGTATATGTTTAACTTCATATATGTCAAACTCTCTCTCAAAGATGCTGTACCATTTTGCAATCCCATTAGCAATATGAGATTTCCTGTTGCCTCATATCTGTGCCAGTGTGTGGTATTATCACTCTTTGTTTTAGTCATTTCAATGGATGTTTGGTGGTATCTTGTTCTGTTGTGTTTTTTTTTTCCCGGGAAACACAATTTATTAACATATTTTA